CCGAGCTTCCTTCAAGCCGGCGAGCAGAAAGCGGCGCACGTCGAACCCGCTGTTTGCCCTGACGGGCGCGTGGCGGGAGGTCACCGAGGTATAACCCTAACCCCAAACCTTACTCTGACCCTGCCCCTGACCCTAGCCCTGACCCTAAGAAACCCCAACCAGGTCGATCAGAAGGTGGAGGCCGCCATCAGGAGGCGCCCGGAGTCGGCGGCCGAGCACCTGGTCGCCATGCATCAGGAGCAGACGACCAGCGCCGCCGCCTGCGCGCCAGCCAGCGCCGTCACGTTCGAGATGGATGTGGAGCTTGGTGAGGGGCACGGGCCCGACAGGCGGCCAGGCGCGCTGCCGCCCGCGCTCGTCCGGAGCAACACCTCACTCGGCCCGTTCGATTTCATCGTGAGGACGCTGCGAGGCCTCTGATGTCAGACTCTGTTCAGGTTAGTCAGGCTGTGAGAACGTACACGTCGCTGTGAGTCGCACTCGCCCACCAAGGCTCCAGCAACCCGATACGACTGACCGTTTCTGACCCGGCGAACCGGTGAGTACCGGCACCATCACGGCACTCGCCTCTGTGTTCGTGCGTCGCCCATCTCTCCTGGAGATGCCTGCTCTATTTGTTTGTGCCCGCCTCCTTCACCTACGAGCTCGTATGCCACGTCGCCGCCTGTGTTTGGGTTTCTATGAACTATGTTTGCGATTTGGGTTTTGGATTTCGTCTATATGATTCTTGGAGCACTTGGAGTGCAGTTATTAACCTCACATCCAGGGCCGAGGAGCTGAGAAGCGCACCCAGCGGGCCGGATGATCGGTGTCGGGTTCTATGTATTTATTTGTCCCTCCCCCTGGGTTGTCTGTTGCTGTTTTTTTTTGTTGAATTCATTGGCTAGTGCCATTTCACTCTGAGGGAGGGTGTAGAGGATGTAGAGTGTAGAGCGCTGTAGAGCTGTAGAGCTGTAGAGCGCTGTAGAGCTGTAGAGCTCTACATCCGCCGCGTGACGAGGCGCCTGCGTTGTAGAGCGATGTAGAGGCGCTCTACAACGTGAAATCTCTACAACAAACTCTACATCATAAGCGGCGAACGAGGCACGGTCGCTCTCCGACATGAGGCGCGTTGCACTTGCCAGTGCTGCCCTGGCCTTCTGTCTGCCCGCCCAATGGGTGGCAGGTGCCTCTGCTGCTATGGCATGCCTCACGGCTGCGACTGGCCGGCGCCTCGGCGCGTCAGCTCGGCTCGGCGTAGCGATAGTGGCCAGCGCAACTCGCCTGGACTCAACGCTCAGCCAGGAGCTCCCGCACGCGCTGGCGCGAGTCATGGCGCATGCAACGCGTCTGAATGCTCGCCTCGCCTCGCGAAAATGCGACCGTCCTCGCA